GAGGAGGAGGAGGAGGAGAAGGAGAGAGAGGAGGGAGGAGGAGGAGGAGGAGGAATGCTAAGGGAATGCTATGAAAGGGACAAATGTCCAGCAGGCTCCCCAGGGTGGCGCAGGTACCACTTCCGCCACCTAGGAGCCATGACCCGACTGAGCTTAAGTCGGAGTCACCAAAAAGACCTCCCCTCGAGGTCAAAAAAAAAGGACGCAGCCTGCCCGCAAATGAGCGATATGCCATCGCCGAGGCTATCCGTGCGCGGCAAGTGCGCTCCCGCCTCCGCCTCAAAAAGGGGAGGCACGCCTTGACCCCGATGGCAGCAACAACGCTCGCGGGCGCACACGCGCCACCACACGCGACAGCGGCGTCGGGGATCCACCCATCCGACACCTGGCCGCCGCCGCGGGCCCGGGCCCGGGGCTGGAGACCATGCTCCGGAGACCAAGCTCCGCCCCTGCCCGCTGCCCACCACCCCCCCGCCGGGCGGGTAGACAGGGGAAGGACTGCTGAACCCCAGAGAGAGGAGGAGCCAAGAGGGGGGGGGGCGAGGGCCCCAGAAGGGGGAGGGACCCCAAGTAAGACGAGCCGCAGGGACCCCGCGCCAGGGGGGCCTGGCAAACGGGGGGCATCCCGAGCCCGCCCCACCCAGAGCCCCACCCCCACCCAGGGACAGCCAAGCCGAAGAGCGAGGAGAGCCAAGGAGCCAAGGAGCGGAGGAGCGGGGCACAGTCCCCCCCCGCCGACCCCCCCACAGGGGGGTGGCTGCCGATCATCGGGCCGGCTACCCAGGGGGATTTCAGTTCCCCGAGGGACCTGGCGTGCCCCCCCCACGCGCGAGGAGGAGGAGGAGGAGGAGGAGGAGGAGGAGGAGGAGGAGGAGGAGGAGGAGGAGGAGGAGGAGGAGGAGGAGGAGGAGGAGGAGGAGGAGGAGGAGGAGGACTGAGGAGGAGGAGGAGGAGGAGGGGAGGAGGAGGAGGAGGAGGAGGAGGAGGAGGAAGGAGCACAGAAGGAGGGAGGAGGAGGAGGAGGAGGAGGAGGAGGAGGAGGAGGAGGGAGAGGAGGCGGAGGAGGAGGAGGAAGGAGGAGGAGGAGGAGGAGGAGGAGGAGGAGGAGGAGGAGAGGAGGAGGAGGAGGAGGAGGAGGGAGGAGAGAGGAGAGGAGGAGGAGGAGGAGGAGGAGGAGGAGGAGGAAGGAGCACGAGGAGGAGGAGGAAGGAGCACGAGGAGGAGGAGGAGGAGGAGGAGGAGGAGGAGGAGGAGCAGGAGAAGAAGCGATGCGAAGTCGTTGAGGAGGCGGCCGGGCAGGGAGGGCCCCGGCGAGGGGCGCGGGGCTCCGTCGGCACCCCCTGCGTCGCCAGCGCGGCCCGCTCCTCCTCCGAGAGCTCCGGCGCGGCGGGGGGCGGCGCGGGGGGCTCGGGCGGGGCCACCTGGGGCGGGGGAGCCCATCGGCAAAAGTATTAGACCTCTGACGAACTGTTGAATTTCGAGGACATAATTTTCAACCGACCCAAGATCAGCAAAACTTCCGGCGAGATTTTTCGAGCCAACTATAGCCCGCCAGCGTTTTCGAACTGGAAGCCGGCAGTAAGCCGTCCACCTTGGTTACCGCTGGGGGGCCAGGCTCGAGCTCCTCCCTGCCCCCCCAAGGAGTGATAGAAGTCCACGCGCGATGGTAATCTCCCAGGGACCTACGCTCAGAAGCCGAGGGGGACGCTCGAGATCGGCATAGAGATGCGAGGATGCCAGCCATAGGGACAGGGAAGTATGCTCCAGGGCTGGTAGCGAAGCTCTCGATCCTCTCCTTGGCCAGGCCCCCGAGGTCATCGGACGCACCAGGACACACTAGTACGATGTGTCCTCATAAGAGGCGTGCGTCCTACTCGAACATATGGTATGACCAACTTCTAGTAGATCGTTTCGCGAACGGCATGGCCAGAAAGCGTCCGCAACGGCCCAGATACTTCCCCTTGGGGGAGGCGACATACATATAGTAGTAGCAGTGGTAGCATGAGGTCTGGCATGTCCTCCTACAGGCGGACTTTGGAGGAGAAATGAAACCTGGTCCAAAAATAGTCAAACATGGTCCAAACATAGTCGGAGCAACTCCTCCTGTGGAGGGACATGCCCGACCTCGTGCTGGCACGCCTGGGTGACGCCGAGGCCACGACGCTGCCCGTCGGGCGTTGGCAAAACTGGGTTTCGTGGAACCTGGTTTCAAAATGTGTACCCGGGGGCGCCCCCCCCCGCCCCGTTCCGCTAACCGGAACTGCCGTCACCCGAAAAACACCAGTTACGGCAAACCTGGTTTAGTGATTTTGGCCAATTGAGGGGCCCCAGGGCCCTACCACTATCGGGCCGGGCGAAAGGGGGGGATCGCAAAGGGGGGGGGGGGGGAGAATCAGCTCGCGTAGCTGATTTTCCTGGCGCCTCCCGGCGCCGGAGGCGCCTATGTATCAAGGAATGGGCCCCTCGGTGGGGCCGAAACCAGCTGCATGCAGCAAATTTCGTACCCCCCCCTTTCCCAAACCCCCCCTTTCGTCCGGCCCGACACTAACCGAATCCCCTTACCCGGGGTCCTGGCTATACCCGACCCTGGGCCGCGACGGCGCAGCGCTCTCCCCCGAGCCCGCCGCGACCACCGCGGGGCGCCCTGGGCCCGCCCACGCGCGCAGCGGGCTCGCGGGACGGGCGCCACTCTGCGGGCTGCGGAACGGCGGCGCTGGCGCGGCCGCCGGGGGCACGGTCGGGCCTGGGTTAAGTTGGGCCTGTCCCCCTAGAGGGGGATTTTCGACGAAAAATAAAATACTCCAAAAATATTGCAAAATAATCCAAAAATAGTCTGGGGACTATTTTTTGCATATTTCTTGACCTGTTTGGTGTATTTTGGGGGTATTTCTTATTTTTCGTCGAAGATCCCCCTATAGGGGGACAGGCCCGACTTAATGGGGACACGGTCGGGCCCGGGACAGACGAACCTCCCTCGAGAACACGAGGCCCTCCGCCCGCCAGACTGAAGAGCACTCCAGGGCGCCCTCCCCCAAGATGCACCGGAGCCTCTAAGTACAAGGAAGAACCCAAGGGCCCCTCCGCGAAGCCACCTCGATCATCTGCCTCGGTCCGACCGTACTCTGCGGGCTGCGGCGCGGCATCGCCCCGTGGGCGCGAGGGATACGTTTCAGGCTGGCAAGGACCAGGTCCGGCATGTCCTCCCACAGGCATGTCTTGGGAGGAAAAACAGAGGCCTCCTAGATGGGGTCGGAATAGGTGGAGTCGGAGGATCGCGCCGCATCGCCGATACATCGGCGATGCATCGGCGATGCATCGGTGACGTCGCGTATCCCTATCCCTAAGATTGACACGCCAAAAGGCGAGGACAATCTTAGGGACTCGCCCTCAAAAAATAAGGGAATCCCTAAGATTGGCATCGTGATGAGGAGGTGCCCAGCATAGGGATAGGGATATGTTCCAGGCTGGTAATTTGGTGCCATCCTTGAGTGCTCCTCCTGCAGAGGGGCGTGCCCGACTCAAGGGCGCGGGGGCGGGCGTGGGAGCGGGCTTGGGAGAGCGGCAGCGCCTGCGCGCCGGGCAGGCCGCGGGCGCAAGGCCCCGGGAGGCACAGGAGCACCCGGCAGAAACGGAGAGCACCGGGATACCTCAGGAGGCAAGTACTGGGAGGTTTTCGCTGGAAAGATTAATAAGGAACCCAGAAAGGACGTACGCGCCGTACGTGTACGTCCTTCTGTCGCTCCTGAATTAAGAAGGATTAAGCCCCATTTGGGAGCTGTTGCGAAGGAGTGGGCCTCGGATTCAACGGGATATAAAGCGGGATTAGACTGATGAAGCGGGATGAAGCGGGATTGAGCCAAATGAGACCAGGGCAAAATCAGAATCTGATCTCCCAGGAGTTGCATCCGAAGATGCCCTCCCCGAGCCGACGTCGATCTGAATACAAAGCAGACCACCCCAACCCAAACCGAAGGCCCGAATTGCGGGTTGGGGGTGGTACGGACTGCAGATATGTTTTTTCCATGTTCCCCGATCACCCCCCCACTGCAAATGGAGGGCAAATCGGGGCCTTTGGGTTGGGTTGGGGTGGTTTGGTGGGCGGCGACGATCGTGTAGCTCGGCCCGACCGTGCATGCCAGGATGAACAAGACGACCCAACATGAACGAAGAACTCCAGAATACCCTCCCCGAGCCGACCTCGATCTTATACCTCGGCCCGACCGTGTATGCCAGGATGCACAAGAGTATCCAGCAAAAACGACGAGCCCCCCGATACCCTGCCCGAAGCGACATCGATCGTGTACCTCGGCCCGACCGTGTATGCCAAGATCCACAGGCATACCAAACCGAAACGAAGAGCCCCGGGATACCCTCCCCGAGCCGACCTCAACAGTATACCTCGGCCCGACCGGATATACCAGGATCCACAAGAATATCAAGCCAAAACGAAAAGCCCTGGGATACCCTCCCCGAGCCGACCTCGATCGTATACCTCGGCCCAACCGTGTACGTATGCCAGAATGCACAAGAATACCCAACAGAAACGCAGAGCCCCGGGATACCCTCCCCGAGCCGACCTCGATCGTATACCTCGGCCCGACCATGTATGCCAGGATGCACATCAGTATCCAGCAAAAACGAAGAGCCCCCAAATACCCACCCCGAAGCGACATCGATCGTATACCTCGGCCCGACCGTGTATGCCAGGATGCACAAGACGACCCAACAGAAACGAAGAACACCAGGATACCCTCCCCGAAGCGACCTCGATCGTGTACCTCGGCCTGACCGTATATGCCAGAATGCACGAGAATATCCAACCGAAACGAAGGGCCCAATGATACCCTCCCCGAGCCGACCTCGATCGTATACCTCGGCCCGACTATGTATGCCATAATGCAAAAGAATATCCAACAGAAACGAAGAACACCAGGATACCCTCCCCGAAGCGACCTCGATCGTATACCTCGGCCCGACCGTGTATGCCAGGATCCAGCACA